CAACAATGGGTTTTAAGCGGAAAGAAAGCTATTTCAGGGAGTTTTGGGCGAAGTACTATCACTGCAAAATATGAGCAAAATCGATTTTTGACCATTACAGACTATTGTTTGATCATTACAGACATTTGCTCTTAAAAATGGCCTACTTTTAGGGACAAGTATACAACAACGACAAAAGACCCCAACCCCCACAAGCCCTTATTTGATACACAATACATATATGTACTCCTCTTAAAAGATTGAATTTGGCATCCTACTTCGTCATTTCTAGACCTTCAAACATAGCCGTATATGCTAATTTCTGTACATGTCCAAAATATGGCCTACCTTTAGGGACAAGTACACACCAACGACACAAGAACCCAACCTCCACAAGTATTCATTTGATACACAATACATATATGTACTTTCCTGCAAAGATTGAATTCAAATGACATTCTACTTTGCTTTTTCTAGAGTTTCAAACATAGCCGTATATGTCAATTTCTGTACATGTCCAAAATATGGCCTACTTTTAGGGACGATGGCACACCAACGACACAAGAACCCAACCTCCACAAGTATTCATTTGATACACAATACATATATGTACTTCCCTGCAAAGATTGAATTCAAATGACATCCTACTTTGTTCTTTCTAGAGCTTCAAACATAGCCGTATATGTCAATTTCTGTACATGTCCAAAATATGGCCTACTTTGAGGGACAAGTACACACCAACGACACAAGAACCCAACCTCCACAAGTATTCATTCAATAGACAAAACATAGTGTTACTTTGGGCAAAAGACTTTATCAGATTGCTTTCTTTCTTTTGTAGATATAGTATCCTGAACATGGCTGAAAATCATATTTTCCCTCAAATTCAAAATTTGGCCTACTTCTAAGGACAACCACGTGACAACCAAAGAAGTGCCCAAAGTTTGCAACCATGCATTTTATAGCACATATGTTTATGTATCTATGATTTAAGTTTGAAGCAAAAAAAATCACCATCTTTGGACCTACAGCACTTCGAAATTGGGTAGAAATAACGCTTTTTCATAAGCCGCAAACACTGTATTGTGTTAGGGTTGCCCAGGTCCTTTAAACGAACTTCTTGAAAATTTCAAAGCTATTCTAGAATAGCGGATTAGTTGGTCTTTTATGCCCATACTTTGTTTTTCCATAATATTAAAGCACTTGCTCGTAATCGTGCCTTAAACTATGCCAAATTTCATGTTTTTCACATGTCTAAATCAGGGAAAATGGCCCCGAAACTTGTTTGGCCCGTTACCATGGCAACGATCGGTGCTGACCGGAAAGAAAGCTATTTTGAGGGGTTGTGGGCCAAGTACTATCACTGTGCAAAGTTTGAGCCAAATCGATTTTTTGACCCCTGCCACCATTGTTTGATCCTTACAGACATTCGCTCTTAAGACTGGAACTTATGCCCCTTCGTTCAGTCACCTGTTAAATGTATGGTAGGATTTATCTTCTTGTGCATGACCTCGTGAAATTACAACCTATAGATACTTCATTCAAGCAAGTCATCATGGAAAGTCCCAAGTCATGGAAAGTCCCAAGTCCTACAGCAGCCAAATAGAATATATTATAGTTCTATCCTCCCCCCCCCCACCACACACACAAACTCACACCCGCCAAAAAGCATTATTTGTCTGCTTAACTACAGTCATCATAAAGTGGAAGTGTCTCTTTGCTCATGTCACCATTGTTGGTTTCTCTCTACCAGTCATTTATGTCTGAAGAATTATGCTTGGCTGTGCAATTCCTTTATCAAACTGTACCTAGATTTCTACTTTTGTGTACCCAACAGTGATATTTGATACAGGCCAGAACAAATCATGTCCAGTACTGTCCATGGTGCTGAATAGACATCACGCACTTCAGATTTAGTGCCATTTGTGACATGGAATGGGTAAGTGGCTAGGCCACTTGACAAAAGTTTGAGACTCCACCTGAAACTCCCTCCCTCCCTCAGGCACAATCACCGGCACAAAGCCTTGTTTGCTAGTGACTACATCACAAAGACAAAGTGTATCAGATTCCTCATCTGTACACTAGCCCCTTTGGCGTAACACACCAGCTTTGCAAGCACGTGGCATGGCGGAAGTTGGCTACTTTACACTGAATGACAATATCCCCAATGTTATACTCTTGATTCAAAATAGTCATGGAAAGTCCCCCATCATTGAAAGTCCCAAATTTTGGAAAGTCCCAAATCTTGGATAGTCCCAAGTTTTGGAAAGTCCCGATTCAAAAAATTCATGTAAAGTCCCAAGTCATGGAAAGTCCCATATTTTATAAGGGCTCATGGAAAAATTCATGGAAAAGTAATGGAAACTCCTACAACAGCCATACTCTACCCCCAAAACCCACCCCACATACATGTACATGTACAAACTCATACCTCCCACAAAGCCTTATTTGTCTGCCTAACTAAATCACATAGAGGAAGTGTGCCTTTCTTTATGTAACCCTCTCTACTAAACTGTCATTTAATTGTCTGAGAAGCGGCATGTTTTACTTTGCTTCCTATGCCAAACATATCTACATTTCTACCTTTGTATGGACATTTGATACTAGCTGAAAAAAGCAGTTTCCAGTGGCCCTAAGACACTCAATACTGTCCATGGTTCTGAATAGATATCACACAGCTATAATAATTTTATCAGTGTATGTTAAGTGTGTGACATAGAAATGGCTGTGATTGCCTCAAGAAAGGTTTCTTGTGGCTTATAAAATAAAAATATGATGTATGTTGCCTGACAAATCCCTACTATAAGTCTTGTTGTAGCACCTACAAATTTAAAGTAAACGTGCACGAGAGCCCTCTGTCCAGTGTCAGGTGAACTGCAGGTGTTGCCTTCATGACATTGGTCATACATGTATGGGTCAAACTTGTCTAGATCAGTTTGCATTGTGATGTTACGCCAGATTCTGTATTTCCTATTTTCCAAAGTTACTGGACATCTTATATAAAATTGATTTCATGCATATAAGTTTAAATCACGTTCACCTTTTACCACAAAATGATTTTCATAATTTTATAAGAAAATCTTACTGCTATCTACAATTTAGTGCATGACTAGAAACTTTAAGGTAACATTTGCAAGCAAATGCAAGATGTTTACCTCGCCTACCATTTATAACTTTATTGGGGAAGAAGGATGGGAGAATATTTTGTTTATGTTGCTTCTTTCTTTCTTTCTTATGTTGCTTACTTTTAGCTACTTGTACACTATAGAGTAACATTAACTGGGGGATTTGAACGTGTGTTTTTTGTTGCTGTAAGGCCAAGGATTTAGTTTAAAATGATCACTCAGCACACACTTTTATCATGTTGAAAAGATGCATATATATGTCATGTACACATTGAATGTTTCAATCTTGACAGCTTTAATTAAACAATTTTTTAAATATTCCACTTGTCTTACAATCTTGTTAACTTTAAAAAAATACAAGCACATACAAAATACAACAAATACAAGCACTGTTGAATATGTACAGCTTTTTCCTTGTCCTCAAGATGCTAGCTCTCTCTAGTACATTTGCACATGACAGCAGAACATAATCCCTTGCCAAAGTGGTCTGCTATGCAGCATTACCCCCTGAAACATTCATCCTGCATTACAGCCAGTATAGTGCCTAATTTCACAGTAGATTATGACTGTCCAAGGCACCTCCCTCCACTGTCAACTCTGCAGTGCCTTGAACCAATTAGTTTGCCTTTCCCCTGCATTAATGCCCTCTGTCACAGTCTTCGGTTATGGTTGACCCATACATTAGCACCAGGCTCAAGTAAGCACAATCCTCAACCATTTAGACCATCCTGTGTCAGCAACTGACGTCCCACCGCCTCTGAGCAGGCCTGACTGACCTAATTCAGTCTATAACCTGTCTGGCCTGAAACAGTCTGAAGTTTGTCCCCCTTTTACACAGGGTATATTTTCAGAAATTCTGTTGCAATTCCAACCTAAAAGAACATACATGAAGTTGCATTTAGGACTTCTTGTCATTATACTTCAACCACCAACACCGTACATGAACCACTATCCTCATACCAAATTTCAGGTCCTTTATTTGACCTAATATGATAATGAAGACACAGGAGCAAATAAGTTACAATATACTTTTTGGGACTATTTTTTTTTTACAAAAAAGCTACATTGAATTATTTTAGGGCCTGCATCCAAAAAATTAAACCAAGAATACCTGTGGAAGTATATTCCCAAGCTCTGTTAAAATTTCGATACATTTGGTAAAAAAATGTGGTGCCTGGTAGCAAATGTCTAACAAGAAGTGGAGAGAGAGAACACAATGTAGGACCAAGACAGCTTAGAGCATTCTGCTCCCCCCATAGGTCACATGACCTCTGGGGGGAGCAGAATGTTCCCATACATGGTCACATGATAGATCAGACCATCCTTTGCAACTCCCCATAGCACATGTAGGAGGCTCTGTATGTATACAAATGCAGTCACTATCAGCCCAGGCCAACAGGTTCTAGACCTTTTGATTTAGTGGTTAAAAGACATTCAAAGAAAAGAAAAGACTCCTGTAGCTTGGTCAAAACAAGCCAAACTTGGAGATATGTATGATGCTGTGTTTCAGCTCAAAGAAAACAGATTATGTTTCACCTCCTAGAAGGCACATATGTTTTCAAAGAGCACAGGATTAATTTGGTGTGACCATCTCCACTGGCAAGCTGTCAGGCAGGCTGTCAGGGGTGGAGATCACATCAGGCAACAGCTTCTGCCCCACTCCAAAAGGCCAAGATGATTAATGATGATTAATGGTCATGGCATCAATCTAGCATTACTCCCAATGTTCAGTGGGAGCTAGTTTAATGCCGGGGTAACCCCAGAAGTGATCTGATAATGACCATGTAATGCGGCATTACAGCCGCACAACTGTGCCTCACAGTGCATACTGGAGCATCTGCAACAGGCAAAAATCTTATGATGCAACATTGACCATTAAAAAAAGCCAACGAAAACATAGTCTAACAACATGCCACTCCTCCACAGTTCTGTGTGAAGCAGTTCTACCTCCTGCATAGGATCCCATTCATACTACAGGTGGGTCGGCATACATGTACTTCTCATTCACTTTCAACCTTAAGTAAACCGTTGAACTTTATTCCAACACACAATTGTACAGGGATCAAATTTTCAGCGACCATTGTCGCCTTCATCAGGATAATTAATGACCAATCACTTCACAACGAGATCTCACGAGAATTACGGTTTACAAACACGTGACCTTATTCACACAAGACTGATACATGACATAAGCAATTGATCAAAAGTGCCAGGGAGTTTATATTGTCCACCATCTCTATTAAGTAAAGGCTGAAGTGCTCTGATATATATGGCCTCCTTAGTGCCTTACGTCAGGTATCAGTAAAATCTCGTGTGAATAAGGTCACGTGTTTGTAAACCGTAATTCTCGCGAGATCTCGTTGTGAAGTGATTGGACATTAATTATCCTGATGAAGGCGACAGTGGTCGCTGAAAATTTGATCCCTGTACAATTGTGTGTTGGAATAAAGTTCAACCTTTTACTATTTAGTACCAACACAGATGAACTTTCATGCTACACTTTCAACCTTCTCATGCTGAGATTCAAGTCAGTTACATGTACTTGACACTAAACAAAACTGTCAATCGACTTTAACATGTCACTAATGTCACCGTGTACAATTTCTTCCTTTCCAGATGTTTGGAACAGTTGCACCACTTCTAGAAGCAAGGCATTCTAAAGAGCAACCTATGGTAATACTCCAAAAAGCAGTTACTCCAGCAACTGGATAATATGATTTTGGAAACAGATGTTTCACGTTTCACTGACAAAAGGTAGTGGATGCTACCTAAAACATCTGACCGTTTCCAAAATCATTATCCAGTTGCTTGAGTAACTGCTTTTTGGCAATTATTTTTTTAGATAGCAGATAAAACATGGTGTCTTAAAGGTAGTTTAGTCCTTTGTTGGACCAGGTAAAGGAATGTCAAGAGTGTGACAGTGTACCCAGTTTTGCTTTCTTCCAACTGAACATTTTATGGAGTATTTTATATGATATGATGATGATACTGCTTCAACTTAAATTTGCAGGTAACCTTGGCCTCATGTACATGTATTATAATTGTCAATGAATTATATTTTATAAGGAATAACTTCTTCATCACCAATTTCTGCCATCTCTGAACTTTATTATTATAATAAGATCCAGTGGCATAAGGCTTAACCAATTTGTTGGCTCTGATGGAAGCAAAAAAACAAACATTTCAGGCTCTGAATCAAATAGTTTGTTTTAACTACGTGTAATAAACTACGCAGTTCCATGGTATTGTAACACACTCAGAGAAAGGAGTAACTCGAAGGTTGACTCCCTGGAATCAAACCCGTGCCGCTGGCACGGCATGTCAGCTCACAACAAGCGCCCCAAACCATTCGGCCAAAAGATCCAGGATCCATTGGGCGGGTAGTTAGTGACGCCTTTATACTCGCTGTTACAGTATGTGTGTATACCTGTCTTTCAGGTGTCTGCAGAGTGTCTGTTCCAGCTGGTCCTGTCCCTGGGACACACCTGTCATGACCCTGTCAACCTGCTGGACCTGCTGGAGGGTGGGAGACCATTACAGACTCTGGTATGAGACCATTACAGACTCTGGTATGAGACCATTACAGACTCTGGTATGAGACCATTACAGACTCTGGTATGAGACCTTTACAGACTCTGGTATGAGACCATTACAGACTCTGGTATGAGACCATTACAGACTCTGGTATGAGACCATTACAGACTCTGGTATGAGACCAGAGTGACAATAAGTGAGTGTGTGTGTGTGTGTAAAATCATCACTCATCATCTTGTTGGCTGCAGTGCATTAATTTTACATGTCGATAGACTTGAGAACTGATTTAAGACAAATGCAAAATAGTAGTTCTCAGTGCACTTTAAGACTGTACTCTGTGATCTACATAGTATTACATTAAATCTTTGACCCAATCATCAGGTGGCATAAAATCTGTAGCTTAGGTATTACATGCAGCTACTAACAGCTAGTAGATTGGTAGAAACTAAAAGTAAAGTCCCAAGGCCTTTTTTGTATTGTTAACATGAGTTAAAACTTTTGGTCCAACACAAAAAGGTTCTCTCACCTAGAGCTTTCTACCAGTCACTCTGGTCTTCCTCAGTAGACTGACCCAGTGAGGCTTGTCACGTAACTTCTTTGAAGTATGACGTCAACACTGGGTCAAAGGTATCTGGTAGACGATGTTGGCCCCCGTCGCGGTTCAATAAAGGGTGATGATGGGCCCTGATGTTATTGTTATCCTTAAAGCATGAATTTGTCTGTGTCCCTGTTGAAATGGAGGCTTACATTTATGTTACAGTAAAAATTGATATTGAATCCTCTATTTCTTACTTGCAGGACTATTTCTATGCAGATGACCCCCCAGACATGACTATTATAGAGGCCATCAATGTGTGCATCACTGTGGTGGCCTATGCTGCCGACTCACTGCGCAGTATTCAAATGCTGGTGAGCTTCACAAAATATGTGTAAAATGCTGATAAATATGAATATTGTTTTTACCTTCGCCAAGAAGGTTATGTTTTCAGTAGCGTTTGTCTGTGTGTGTGTGTGTTTGTGTGTGTGTGTGTGTGTGGTTTAGCAAGATAACTCGAGAAGCAGTGGATGAATTGGAATGAAACTTGGTAGGTGGGTAGGTCTTCATGAGACCTAGAAATGATTAGATTTTGGGCCCCCTGGCGGCTTTCCTAGGTACTGCAGCAGAACTTCCGGTTTTGATATCTCGTGATCTGGACATGCTAGGGTCACGAATTTTGGATGGCAGATAGCTCTTGGAATAGGGAAGAAGTGACATGAGTTTGGGTCCCCTAGCGGCTTGTTCTGGAACTGCAGGAGCATTTGTTGAAAAATTTTCGAAGGAGGATAACTCAAGAACCGGTTGACGGATTGTCGTGATTTTTGGTATGTAGGTAGTTGAAGTGATGCTTGACATGATCAGATAACAATTATGCAAATCAGGAGCTAATTTGCATAATTAATGAGGAAATTCCAGAAATCTGCTTTGTTCGATAATAGAACTATGAAACACTTGTGACATCACTTGTGAGAACGAGAAAAAACATCTGAGGATATAGATTATGTAAATGAGGACCTAATTTGCATAATAAATTGCAAATTTTTATAATTTCATAGTTGTAACTGCTAGGAATTTCATACTTGCCACATTTGGAAGTTGAGTGAAGATGAACATCAACAAACATAATTTATTCAAATCATTTGCATAATTTATGAGGAAGTGCTATAATAGCATTTTTGTTAAGATAAGGCTGTCATTGGATGGAGAATATGATCAACTGATATAATCCATGCAAATGGGGCTCTTACTTACAAAATCAATGATTAAAATTGTATCATTTGTCAACCACAAGGGTTAACATCATTTGGCGAAGGTATGAGATCGTGGAACTCTTGTTTTTTAATTATATGAATATTCAGAAGAACTCAAGGTAGCATTTTGTTCTACCTCAGTTTAGTATATTCAATAATGCCATGTTGATATCATTTTTCCCTACACCTCAATTTTTATAATAATTTAGTTTGTGCAATGAGACATTGTTATCAACAGACATGAAGGTTTTGTAAATGAATAGATCATAACACGATTATGAGCTATATGAAAATGATTGGTTCAAGCCAGTTGAAATATAATAATTGTTCTGTCTTTTCTTGACTTTCTTGAGATTATCATTATGACATTACAAGTTGTATATTTTTATGTTACTATTAAGAGTAACTCCTATGTATAATTGTTTAGTGTGTGCTGGAAGCTCTGGTCCCTTTCTACATGCGATATCTGATGAAACAAACCAGCCGGAGAGACAGCATTAGTGCTGCTAAAGAAGAGCTGACAAGTATTGAACAGCTGGCTGTTTCCATGGAGGCACTGACACAAAGCTGTGAACCATTCAATAGGTAGAATTTCTACCTGTCTTTTTTTTAGCGGAGTAGTTCAATGCAAGGCCTATGCGACCACTTCTTGACATTGAACTAGAAATATGAGAAACATGGCTATGTCAAGAGATGGCGGTGAACGTTCGATTTGAAAGCCTGTAGATTGCAGGTTGGTTGGAAACACTTGTCAGGGAGGGAATTCCAAAGCTTGGCCCTACGGGGAAAGAAACTGTCACTTTAAAAAGATTTCGAACAAGGAATTTTTTGGCAAACATTTTTGTAGGGACAATGTTTATTTCATTCTTATACTGACATTCCGTTCAATTTTCTTGAGTTGGAATCAGATTGTGTAATTCTCATTACTTGGTTCTTTATCAGTTATGCGATCTGTTATTTGGATGATACACCTGGACATGTACCCAAAGTGGATCATGTGTACATATATATGTTGGAAACAGATTTGAATATATCTTTACATGTAAAATGGTTCCCACAATGCAAAAATAGGTACATATAAAGGGATGTTTTGTTATTAGAAAAAATACCCGAACTTGTGATTAGCCCATTCGATTATAACACTTTATCAAAGACTTGTGCTATCCCATATTGTTTGAATGATATATTAGGTTTTATTCGACATTAGGTCTTATTCAACACATTTATTTTATTGTTTGTTACTCTCTTTATGTAGTTTGCCATACATTGTACCTTGTGCAATTGTCGTGCAATAAAGTTCTTCTTTATATAGTACATGTATGTTGTAGATGTAGGCTGTGCCATGACTAATGTACCAGTCCTGTCTTGTCTGTACCATTAGGACCATCAATACCACCATGTGGCGCTCCAATGATACAACAGGTTCTGTCAACAAAAGGAAGACCAATGCCCTGTCTGCTTCTAAAACCCTGGTGCCTCCAACGTCGGCCAGACAGACTCTGGGCAGGGAGGCTGGGAAGGAGGAGGATGATGAGCTGAAAGTCAGGTTTGTAGGACATTCAGGAACCTACATTAGGCCACACCGCCTTAATTTTATGGATGACATCCTCTGAAGACCCCCAAACTAGTGCGCACAGGCGAGTAAAAAAGATTTCACCCAACAATAAAAATGTTACTAGACCACAGGAATACAAAGCTGGTATAATGAATTTATGGCAGTACTTAGCGACGTATGCGACAAGCCGGCACATGCCGGCTTTTTGCGGAATTTATGAATTGGCACTGTATGTATGTGCTGAGTTTTTGAGTCGTGGAGCTTCGGTAGCCTGGGTGTCATCCTCTAGAGTTACCATCGGCTCCCTATTGTCGCTAACTACCCGTAACAGGCCTAGAGCCAGGCCAGTGTCTCGGTAGACATGTTTTTTTTTTTTTTCAGAACAGGTGAAAATCAATGTGCGCACGGATGTCATCCATAAAATTAAGCTGGTGTGGCCTTATCAACCTGTGGGAAAGTAGATGATGATAATTACTGAAATGCACCGTGAGATGAAACTATTTCATATTTGGTCACATCAACTGCTTTTCCTAGATGTCTAGTATATACCAGACACAATTAATTGCTGGAAAAATATTGACTGAGAGAACAGAATTTGGTCAAATGACACTGGGCGAAAAGGCCTCGGATGCAGCCGGATCCCTAGGATCCCAATTTGCATCACCTTACGGATGCTGCGCAGATCCCTAAGAATCCCCAGAATTGCGGATCCCACACCAAGAATCCCCAGGATTGCGGATCCCACACACATCCGTAACGCATACGTAGGCATCCGTGCCTCACAGCGGATAGAGATGCGGCGTTCGTAAGGATACTTACTTCGCAGCGGATGCAGACACGGTATCCGTATGGATACTTGCTGGTTACGTATATATACTTAAGAAATAAGACGTTGTTAGGATAGCAACATTCCACATCTTTAGGGTTCATCATATCCTGCCATATTTTTGTACCTCGGATACCACCGTTTGTAAGATAAATATGTGAGATACTCCATTATACACTGGATACAAGGATACTTGTATTCCTGTGTTTTTTTTATCCCACTCCACAGCAGAAGCGAATTGTGGGTAATCTGGGGATATCTTAGATATCCGAATTTGTTTTCGTACGCATCCGCAAATTGTTGAAATTACAATCGCCACAAGAGGGCGCACCCCGTAAATAGCCATATATATACGTACATAACGACTTGCCTTTGCGCGTCGCATAAGCAACTGTCTGCTCGGATTCGTGACTGTACTGATTTTTGCTGATTGGAAACTTTGCGTATCAGACAAGAAGTTGGTTCACATACAACCTTCGCCGGTACCAAAATCGAGCATATCTCAAAGATCCACTTCTGTATTTTCGCTGGATCCGCAGAGCAGTTCCAGCAGCAGCAGTGCCTTGTGGGTAAACCCCGGGGGAGATTCAAACTCAACGGTCACTTTCAGTGACCGCTTGCTTGAGTGTGCGTCCCTTTCTATCGTCCCGCTGTCCATATATATCCGCTGCATATAAGTTCAGCAACCACGGCATTGATTGTCAAAGTCTAGGATACTGACCGTACACCGACTGGACGCTATGAGCTATCAGTGGTCGAGACAAGGACGAGAGACGTACCGGGGACATCGCCCGGCGAGGGCACGAAGCCACCAGGCATGTCATGACACGTTGCAGACTCGCCTGACGAACAGTTCAACTGGACCATAAACCGACTGTTGACGGCATATAGAAGTGAGTAAACCCTTCGAAACTCTTTTAATTAGTATAATGGTTTCAGATCATTTCTGACGAAAGTTTAGAGCAACTCAACTTCGCAACTCACATCTGTGGCCTTTATCTGACCTGTTGTTCCCATATGTAAAAGCGCCGGCCTTCTCACGGGGGGTATTTCACATGTCAATGCTGGCTCGCATAACAATGCCTACTGCTGGCATCTGGGCCGCTGGGGAGACTTTTATCCTAACGGTTTTTAGCACATTCTGGCCGAAATGCCATTTTTACACTGTATTTAGTTTTCTGCTGTTGTTGTTTTTTCGTAGGTCAAAAGCGACTGATTGAACGTGGGGTAAGACTGTCTTCAGCAGACTTCCACAAAGACCATCCTGATGTGGGACTAGGAGACAGATGATGGCTGTTACACATGGACTGTGAGACGATCATCCTGGCGAAGCAAGACTTGATAGTTCTAGTTCTACCTGTTTAGTATTGCAAATATTTATTTTACAAATGTTAGATGTATTAGTATATTAGTTCTCTCTTTTTTGTCGCTTTACACAGTATGTGCAGAGTTTTAATAAAGGCTTTCAGGCTAAATCTATTCATTCGTTTATTCCTTCATTTATCTAATTTAACTTGCTTGTTGGATCTGCACGTATACATATCAAACACGGGCGTATCCAGGGGAGATTGCCGTATGGATTCGGGAAGATTCGAGGTACGGATAATAAAAATCCAAACGCCGGCTCTGTTTGCATCCGAGGCAAATGCAGAGAAATGTGTATGGAAATCCGATAGGGATACGGGAAAATCACAAGTTGTATCTGTACGCATCCGTGTAAAATACCGACGTCTGCACGTGGGGATCTATCGCATATCCGGGAAAATCCCTATTAAGAAAATTCGCATCCGTAGAAAATCCCGGTATTTGCATTCTTTGGGATCCAGACAGTCCAGGTTACTTCAGGTGTACAAAAAATCCCTAAAGAAACAAATTGGTATCTGCGAAAAATCCCGCTTTGGAATCCTTTGGGATGCTGACAGTCCAGGTACACAAAAAAATCCCTCAAGAAACAAATTGGTATCCGTGGAAAATCCCATTTTGTGATATTTAGGGATCCAAACGTTCCGGATCCCTAAGAATGCAAATTTAGGATATTTTACGGATCCTACCCTTATCCGTTTGCATCCGCTTGTATCTGCTAAAAATGCGTAAATATCCCTGTGCGTATATGGCTGCATTCGAGGCCTTTTCGCCCAGTGTGAGTTTGATAATTTGCCGAAGAAGTTTGCCTGCCATAAAGTTATTATATAATATATACTTGCTACCAACAAATGAATTCCAACATAACCTCAGTCCCCCTACCAATTGTCCCTATTTCGGCCTTTTTCAAGGTGGTGTTCAGTACTAGGGAAAATTATCCCATGGTTAATTTTGTTCAGTATATAGTACAAGGACAGGTGTGTCTTCCTGTGTGTGGATGGTGTTCAGTACCAAGGACAGGTGTGTTAACCTGTGTGTGGATGGTATTCAGTACCAAGGACAGGTGTGTTTACTTGTGTGTGGATGTTGTTCAGGACCAAGGATAGGTGTGTCTTCCTGTATGCGGATGGTGTTCAGTACCAAGGACAGGTGTGTCTACCTGTGTGTGGATAGTGTTCAGAACCAAGGACATATGTGTTTATGGTGTTCAGGACCAAGGACAGGTGTGTTTACCTGTGTGTGGATGGTGTTCAGCACCAAGGACAGGTGTGTTAACCTGTGTGTGGATGGTGTTCAGCACCAAGGACAGGACTTGTGTGTGGCTGGTGTTCAGCACCAAGGACAGGTGTGTTTACTTGTGTGTGGATGGTGTTCAGGACCAAGGACAGGTGTGTTTAATTGTGTGTAGATGGTGTTCAGGACCAAGGACAAGTGTGTTTACTTGTGTGTGGATGGTGTTCAGCACCAAGGACAGGTGTGTTAACGTTGTGTTTATGGTATTCAGGACCAAGGACAGGTGTGTTTACCTGTGTGTGTGTGTGTGTGTGTGGTGTTCAGTACCAAGGACAGATTTGTCTTCCTGTTTGTTGATGGTGTTCAGCACCAAGGACAGGTGTGTTTACTTGTGGTAGGATGGTGTTCAGTAACAAGGACATAGGTGTTTATCTGTGTGTGGATGGTGTTCAGTACCAAGGACAGGTGTGTTTACTTGTGTGTGGATGGTGTTCAGCACCAAGGACATGTGCTTTATTTGTGTGTGGATGATGTTCAGCACCAAGGACAGGTGTGTTTACCTGTATGTAGATGGTGTTCAGTACCAAGGACAGGTGTGTCTTCCTGTGTGTGGATGGTGTTCAGCACCAAGGACAGGAGTGTTTCCTGTGTGTGGATGGTGTTCAGAACCAAGGACAGGTGTGTTTACCTGTGTGTGGATGGTGTTCAGAACCAAGGACAGATTTGTCTTCCTGTTTTGTGGATGGTGTTCAGCACCAAGGACAGATTTGTCTTCCTGTTTGTGGATGGTGTTCAGCACCAAGGACAGGTGTGTTTACTTGTGTTAGGATGGTGTTCAGTATCAAGGACAGGTGTGTTAACCTGTATGTGGATGGTGTTCAGCACCAAGGACAGGTGTGTTTACCTGTGTGTGGATGGTGTTCAGCACCAAGGACAGGTGTGTCTTCCTGTGTGTGGATGATGTTCAGTACCAAGGACAGGTGTGTTTACCTGTGTGTGGATGGTGTTCAGTACCAAGGACAGATTTGTCTTCCTGTTTGTGGATGGTGTTCAGCACCAAGGACAGGTGTGTTTACTTGTGTTAGGATGGTTTTCAGTAACAAGGACATATGTGTTTACCTGTGTCTGGATTGTGTTCAGCACCAAGGACAGGTGTGTTTACCTGTGTGTGGATGGTGTTCAGCACCAAGGACAGGTGAGTCTTCCTGTGTGTGGATGATGTTCAGTACCAAGGACAGGTGTGTTTTCCTGTTTATAGATGGTGTTCAGCACCAAGGACAGGTGTGTTAACCTGGGTGTTTGTGATGTTCAGTACCAAGGACAGGTGTGTTTTCCTGTGTGTGGATGGTGTTCGATACCAAGGACAGGTGTGTTTTCCTGTGTGTGGATGGTGTTTGGTACCAAGGACAGGTGTGTTTACCTGTGTGTGGATGGTGTTCAGCACCAAGGACAGGTGTGTTTACCTGTGTTTGGATGGTGTTCAGTACGAAGGACAGATGTGTTTAACTGTGTGTGGATGGTGTTCAGCACCAAGGACAGGTGTGTTTACCTGTGTGGATGGTCTTCAGTACCAAGAACAGGTGTGTTTACCTGTGTGTGGATGGTGTTCAGTACCAAGGACAGGTGTATCTTCCTGTGTGTGGATGATGTTCAGTACCAAGGACAGGTGTTTCTTCCTGTGTGTGGATGGTGTTCAGGAACAAGAACAGGTGTGTTTACCTGTGTGTGGATGGTGTTCAGCACCAAGGACAGGTGTGTTTACCTGTGTGGATGGTCTTCAGTACCAAGAACAGGTGTGTTTACCTGTGTGTGGATGGTGTTCAATACCAAGGACAGGTGTTTCTTCCTGTGTGTGGATGGTGTTCAGGAACAAGAACAGGTGTGGATACTAATCAGTACCGGGGACAGGTGTGCTTATTCGTGTGTGGATGGTGTTCAGTACCAAGGACAGGTGTTTACCTCTGTGAGTATGGTGTTCAGTACTGGGGACAGGTGTTTTATTTGTGTGTGGATGGTGTTTAGCACCAAGGACAGATGTGTTTACTTGTGTGTGCTTATCAATACCAAGGATAGGTGTGTTTATTTGTGCGTGTATGGTGTTCAGTACCAGGGACTGAACAAGTGGTAGATCGCAGATGAGTATCCAGTTGAATGTGGTACATTATTTTGTATTTAGCTCTGTAATGTTGTTTTTACCTTTTCTCTAACAGATTTAAGGAGGATCCCAGGAGGCTCCAGTATGAACAGAATGTTCAGAGCACGCCGGGTCACTACGAGTTTCACCGCCCCAGGGAGGCCTTCCTCAACGTCATCGTGGAGTACTTTGTGGGCAGCAAATCCAGATTCAAACACCTGCGCAGAATGTTGGACCCACGGTTCCAGGTCCCAGAGCTACTCAGTACCAAGAGTCACATAGTACGTCACTTTATCTAAAGCATCTCTTCTTGTGGCATTGATAATTGATAACCTGTAATTAGCCTTTGCTGTGACTTTTAGGGTACATGTATTTGTTCATGTTCAAAATGTAAATCTGCATGCCATCTTTGGGTTGGTAAGCTTTAGCCTGTGGTTCCCAATCTTCCCTCTAGCTTGTACTTCAGGCGTACATAATATTGGCCCATGCAGGTCTTATCCAGTCGGTTTTTAAACTCATTGACTGTTTTCGCTTCAACTACTGTTTGTAGCAAAGAATTCCAGTCCTTCGCAGTTCTGACGCTGAATGACTGCCCTCTAACCCTATTCTTAGCTAGTGGTACATTTAGTTTATACTTGTGTCCTCATGTTGAGCTATCAGCTGACGTTACTTCAGAAAAGGATTCTAGTGGAAGAAGTCTCTCCAGCCCCCTTAAATGCTTGAACAGCTGAATCATGTCACCACGACACCTTTTGTATTGTAGAGAAGGGAGCCTAAAGGATCTACTACAACATACATTTACCTAATGCAACTACAACTCCTGCTAACAGCTGTCTTATTGTCTGTTTTTCCATCTCATGAGGGTTAGACATCCTTGCACAACAATGTCATGGCTTTAGGACAGACTGGTATTGCTGGAAACTTTGGCTTAGTGCTACATTGAAGATACATGTAACTCCTAAGCCCCTGCCTGCATATTGCTTGTTATGTTAGCAAGCAAGACACCTTTGACACCATTGTATGTTTGTTAATAGTTTTACATGTAATTTCACATACTGTATTTTCTTCACAGAGGATTGTGGAAATTTTGGATAGTTTTTTGAGGACTGCAACAGACGACCCCCTAAGTTTAGGATCAGTTGGACTGCAAAGGTGAGTTGGTGCTCTTCCTTTCTAGTAGATAGTAAATAATATACAAATTATTATCTATACAACTGCAGTATGAACCATATGATGCATCTGTTGGTTAGTTTAATAATCAGCTTTGCATTGCACAAAGTAAAAGTTCAGGACTTTTTTGGTTGGTACAGTTTCATGATTTAAACATTTTTTTTTCAAATTACATCAGTTGCCAGAATAAATCTTCTGTTCATAAAAGCCTGTTTGAATACAGTGATCCCTGCACTAGATGTTATCCTCATTAGTTTTTATTGTTCTATTAAATGGGCATTATGTACCATTTTTGCAACAATCAAACCACAAAAATTGAAATATTTTCATTATATTAAAAAAATCCCTAAAAAGTATGTAATAACTTTTGTATCATCCTAACGTTACATTAAAATAAAATGCGGTTTTGATAAATGTTTCTTTTATGTGAAGAGCTGAAGGTCCTAAAGCAGGTCTTTTGTGCAGATGTCTGCAGTTTGAAATATTGTTTATTGCAAATTCATGTCCGAGGGCTAATTGCAACAGACATTGACAAGAACAATTAATGTGGTGATATACATGTAAGACTATGTGCTAACATAAAGTTCTACGTGTACTTTATTTATTTATTTATTTATTAAGTTTTACCACGTACAATATGTACTGTGGATGGCATGGCAAAACAGGTGTTTCTGACATGAAACACCTTTTCAAAGCCGCCATACCAATAAAATGACAAGACAATACAGTCAAAAAGTAATCAAATCACATAATACAATTTGAGAAACAAATAAATAAACTTAGAACTACAAGGCAAGTCAACTTAATAACATTGTGAAAGTTGTTGATTCGAGACAACAAATAACGACAGTTATATATATGTATATATATATTATACGATATACTTATCAAACCTACTATCTCTACTTAAATCTAATAACGTTGGTATACATACAGGATAAGCAGTTGCATTATGCAATATATGAACAGGTTGAAGAGGAACCAAATAACTGCTATTCTATTATATATTCTATTCTATTTAACTATTCTTGCCATGCTATTAGGGGGTTTGACTTCTTCTCAGGAGGCAGTGGGAGATGAATTGTTCAACTCTTTGAAAAATAAATGGGTTGGGAGACTTTAGCAGCAATATAGTCTTTATATCCGTAATATATATATTGCCCACAGAAAATCGAAGATGAGTTTCATTTTATCATGGAATGCTCTAGATATGATACGTGATAAGCTATTCAAATTTCTCACGTCAAATATACGACAGATTTCAATAGACTTGCTGCTACAGATAGATTTGATTATATACTTAAATGCAACAGACCACACAATGCAAAAATAGGTAGATACATAAAAGACTGTTTTGTTATTAGAAAGAATACTGATTTGCTGTCACATGTACCCATAAATATCTCCGCCTGATTGTAAAGCCTAAGCTAACTTTTGATTATCCTTTCTATATATAAGTTGCTAAGTTTTATTCTATACTTATCTATTTTACTATGCTACTTATTGTTACCTATTTGCCATACAATTTACCCTGAAGTTTTTTTGAAGTTTGAAGTTTATTTCATACTACAGCCTTATAGCAGCCTAAAGGCTGAATTGACAGGTCTGTTTACATACAGTGTATATACAATAAATAATTACATTAAAGATGTCTAAGTGTGCTTAATAAGACGCATTAAAATTTAATAAAAGCCTACACTACCAAAAATGCCAATCTTGTTTTTCTTCAGAGAAGAAAAATTTTCTTCCACTGAGAAAATTATTCTTCACCCAAGAAAAAAATCTTGTCCATGAGACAAGAATTTCAAGAAACTGCATTTTAGCATATTTTTCTTGTGGGAAGATTTCTTTTCTTATGTATCTTGAACTAAATATCCTTAGACTATTATTCTTGCAGTAAGAATTTCTAAGTTTTCTAGAAAACCATTCTGTACACAAGAAAAGATTTCTTGAACTAAAGATCTAACTCTTCTTGTAGCAAGAAAAATATTCTCCCCACAAGAAAAGATTTCTTGGACTAAGAGCTAACTGTTCTTGTAGCAAGAAAACCATTCTGCCCACAAGAAGAGATTTCTTGAACTAAGATCTAACTCTTCTTATTGCAAGAAAATCATTCTGTACACAAGAAAAGATTTCTTGAACTATTATCTAACTCTTCTTGTGGCAAGAAAACCATTCTCCTTGCAAGGAAAGATTTCTTGAACTAAGATCTAACTGTTCTTGTGGCAAGAAAACCATTCTGTACAGAAGAAAATTTCTTCTTGAACTAAGAGCTAACAGTTCTTATAGCAAGAAAACCATTCTCCTCACAAGACTTCTTGAACTAACATCTAACTGTTCTTGTGGCAAGAAAACCATTCTGTACAGAAGAAAATATTTCTTGAACGAAGAGCTAACTGTTCTTGTAGCAAGAAAACCATTCTCCTCACAAGAAAAGACTTCTTGAACTAACATCTAACTGTTCTTGTGGCAAGAAAACCATTCTGTACAGAAGAAAATATTTCTTGAACTAAGAGCTAACTGTGCTTGTAGCAAGAAAACAATTCTGTACACAAGAAAAGATTTCTTTAAATAAGATTAAGAGCTGACTCTGTTCTTGTAGCAAGAAAACCACTCTGCCCACAAGAAAAGAAATACAATTTATACAGTGCTACCTAAATAGAAAACGGACAATAATGTATAGCAACTAAATGTTATTTTGAAAAGCATTTGGACAGTATAGAGATTTTATTTTCACATTGATTTTTGTACAATGTATCTAATTGAAAATATCAGTCCATCAACATTCTTGGAATGGAAACAGTTTAACAGTAGCTTTCAAAATATTATACTATTTATATGGATGTAACTAACAAGCCATTATGATTTCAGAATACAGATCGTATCACATTCTGATCAGAAACATATTCAGCAAAAAACTGAAGTTTTCGCATTATAGAATTGGCAGTCACACCCTTTGGACACCTGAAAACAACAGGAAAGACCTGTGTTAGTTTGCATGCGTGTACTGAAGGCAACAAGTCAAAAGAGGATGCTAAAATACTATTTTTATTACTTGGAGTAAACAATTTAAAAGTATATTAGAAAGCACTGTAATAAACTTTACTATACAATACACCAGAGATATATGATTTGACTTTGAAATCAACCCCAATGGCATTGTAACAATATCTGGGCTATGAAGTCTAAATACAATGTCAACAGATCTTATAGGTGGGGAGGGGGGCGCACTTACCTTCAATCTGTTTGGTTTCATGTCTTTTTCTGTTGCAAAGTTGGTTTCTTCAGCAACCTGACCACGATCACCATTGCTTCACATGTACACAAGGTCCTTTTTAATTTGATTTTGACTTCAAATCTGACATGAGTCAGTAACTGACAAAAATAAGTAACCAGCGCGGCTCTTACATCTGACTTACATTCAAAAACCCCTAACTGCATTCTGGGATTTGAATCAACCAATCAGGGGTTCAGAAAAGGTCACATGACAAGAAAAAACTAGAAAAAAGTTCTTACATCATCTTGAACATTACCAGGCAAAATAAGAATCATCTTTCTTAAACTTTCTGGTATTTTCTTAAATGTTGCTAAGAAAAACAAGAATGGCCTTTCTTAAACTTTGTAGGGAAGAAAATCAAGAATGTTTAAGAAAATTCAATATAATACTAGCCATATCTTCAGCCTAATCAAAGATCAATTTTATATCAGACTTTCTTGTTTTTTTTACTTATCAGTATTTGTCAAGAAATATAAGAACTTAATTCTTGTATTTTCTTAAATGTTGCCAAGAAAAACAAGAATGATCTTTCTTAAGCTTTCTAGTCAAGAAAAACAAGAAACTTTAAGAAAGAAACACTAAGCAGAGCTTTATTCTAATAATAGATTTAGATAATTAAATTTCTTGCTTTTCCAATCAGTGTTTCCCAAGAAAGACAAGAACCAAATTCTTTTATTTTCTTAAACATTGCTAAGAAAAACAAGAATGGCCTTTTTCAATCATTCTCGGTAACATGAACTAGAAATTTTTTGACATACACAAGAAAAAAAATCTTAAATCTGACCACTTTGATGTCAGGTAAGAAAGAAATCTTCCATGGAGATTAAATAAGAAAATTGAACTAAGTCTGAGGGAATTTTAAGATTAAAAGAATTTTAATCTTGTAACTTAGAATCTTCCCTAGAAATATTGTCTTTTCTAAAGAAATTTCAAGATTACAAGAATTCTAATCTTGTAAGTTAGAATCTCCTCTAGAAATATTTCTTCACCAAAGAAAAATCAAGATTTAAAGAAGCCTATTTTAGAAAAATTATCTCCACTCAAGAAAAATGAGAAAATTGCTCTTGGTGCAAGAACGTAGGTATACAGAAAATTTATTTTTCTCTTTTTTTTCCTTATTATTCTTCCCCCAAACGAAAAATTTTACTTTCCCATGAGAAAATAAAGAAAAACAAAGAAAAAGACATTTTTGGTTAGTGTATAGATATTTAAAAAGTTTAGTTAAGCGATATATACATATGAGGAAATTAACTATTTTGTAGAATGCTAAGCGAGTAATGAAAAAGTCGTGAGTTACAACAAAAGGTTCACGGGTAGGCATAAAATAGTCGGTTAACAGGGATCATTGTAAGAATAAAATGACGATGTAATAGTGAGACTAACAATACAAGGCTCTAACTTTATAACTTGTGTCCATTCAAGATTCGTTGTTTAAAAGTTCGATCAAGTAGGGCAATGGTGAGTTTTTGTAGCGCTCCGTGCGACAGTATGGTGTGTCAATCTTGTGAGAGTTGCGAGTTTGCCGTCCGGACACATCACGCCTGGTCGGGGGTAACCAGTTCCTGAACTCTGAGTTCAACAGGGATGTGGCGAATGACCGACAGAGGCTAACCCGTCGATCTGACAGTGTGGTGAGATTCAGACTCTCCAATGCTGACGCGTAGTTGTCGTACTGATGTCCGAGAATAATCCTACACGCCCTTTTCTGGATGCGTTCTAGACTTGTGGTTTGTTTGACAGTCAGCGATGAATGCCACACGGGTGTCGCGTACTCCAAGGACGGACGAACATATGCGGTGAAGACAGTCGTCAGGTCGGTAACTGACATGCCGAACCGTTTAAGTCTGCGCAGTGGATACAGTTTTCTATTGGCACCTGTGATCATGTTGCTGACGTGGGTGTTCCATCTTAAGTCATTTTGAATGGTCACGCCGACGACTTTGATGCTTACTACCGATTCCAGCTCTTGGCCTTCGAGGGTGAGTGGTAGTGGTATTGGAGGTAATTTTGCATAGCATACATGGAGTACCTTGCATTTCCGCGGATTTAATTTCATTTTGTGTACACCCACCCAGTGGTTGAGATCATCTAGGGTTGGTTGTAAGGTGCAAGGTTGACGCGTAGACCATTTCTGTGCGAGGTTTAAATCGTCGACGTACTTCCAGCGGTCATGTACATCCCGAGATGCCCCATCGATCACGGCCATGAAGATGATTGGCCCGAGGATTGTTCCCTGGGCCACGCCGCATGTAAGATGGGTCCAATCAGAACTTTTCCCCATGTAGTTTACCCTTTGCCGTCGGTTTGCCATAAAACTGCAAACCCATGGTATTAGGGCAGGACGTACTCCCAGGTTCAGTAGGCATTTGATGGCTGTAGCATGGTCAACCCTATCGAACGCTTTAGACAGATCTGTTGTGACAAGGGTGCAGGTGGAAGATGGTGTTGACGTTGACTTGTACATAAAGTCTAGGAGACTTACTAGTGCGTGGGTTGTCGACCTCTTCCGCCTGCAGCCAAACTGACGAGGATCGAGGTGAGGAGATATGTCTTCTAATATCCAGTTCGCGACAAAACGTTCACAAACTTTGGCAAGAAGTGAAGTCAGGGATATGGGCCGCAACTCATCAATATGTGGCGGTGAACACTTAGGTAGTGGGGTGACATTCGCCTCTTTCCACTGATGGGGGACGATCCCCTGCTTGATCGATGTATTGATGAGGTCGCAGAGAGGGCCGCTAATTTCACATGCGAACTCCTTCAGTATGACTCCTGGCAGACCGTCGGGTCCAGGGCTCTTATGGGGGTTGGTAGAGCGTAGGTGGGCATAAACTTCCCAGACTTCAATGGCGGGAAGTGAGAAGTCAGGTAAGAATGCAGGAAGTGATGAAGGATCCAGAGGTGGTAAGGACTGTGACACTTCAGCGAATTTGCGGTTTATTTCGTTGGCTATCGCTGTGAAGTCATTTTGGTCGATGTTAGGTGTATTGATAAGTGTGGTCTTCCTACTCATATTGCACATGTCCTTGATGTTCTTGTGCCAAGTTCTGGGGTTTTCCCTGTACAATTTTTGTGTCAA